CAAACGACACGCATGCGCAGAGCCCACTTCTGGTTCCGTTTTTATACAGTGGTAGTAATTTTTTACAGCAGCAACAACAAACATGGGTAGTATGTGTAAGAACAGAAAGATTGATCAAGAATGTCGGGCATTTAAAGAGGAATGGACAACAAATTACTTTTTCACGGATACTGGAAGCAAAGCTGTGTGCTTACTTTGTCAGGAAACCATCGCCGTGTTCAAGGAATATAACTTGAAAAGACACCACCAAACAAAGCACGTGGATTTTGGAAAAACTCTCTCTGCAGAAGAAAGGAAGAAAAAAGCAACTGATTATGTGCAGCGACTGAAAAAACAACAAACAGTGTTTTTCAAACAATCTGCCAGTCAGGATGCTGCTACAGAGGCAAGTTTTGTTGTGTCATATAATCTCGCCAAACGAAACAAGCCATTTTCTGATGGGGAGTTTTTGAAAGCGTGTATGGTGGATTGCGCAAGCATCGTGTGCCCGGAAGCAAAATCTAAATTCGAGAACATTGCATTGTCACGAAGGTCTGTTGTACGCAGAGTGGAAGTGATAGCAGAGGATTTATCTCACCAACTGGATAAAATGTGTAAAGACTTTGTGTGGTATTCGCTAGCGCTGGATGAGAGTACAGATACACAGGATACAGCACAATTAATGATTTTCATTCGTGGGATAGATGGGAACTTTAAAGTTACAGAGGAACTGTTAGCACTGGAGTCCCTGAAAGACACAACTACAGGGCAAGATTTATATCAGGCAGTGAAAAGTTGTGTAGAAAGGAAAGGACTAGAGTGGGGTCGAATGGCAAGTGTAACTACAGATGGTGCACCTGCTTTAACTGGGAAAAACAAAGGGATGGTGGCATTACTTTCAAATAAAGTTCGTGAGGAATGTGGCCAGTCATTGATGGCCTTTCACTGCATCATACACCAGGAGAGCCTCTGCAAAGCAGCACTGCAATTCAAACATATTGTGGATCCAGTTGTGAGTGTGGTGAACATTATTAGGGCCAGGGTACTGAACCATAGGCAATTTATCTCTTTGCTGGAGGATATGGATGCAGAACATTCAGATGTTTTATACCACAACAATGTGAGATGGCTGAGTGTAGGGGAGGTCCTGAAACGAGTGTGGGACTTAAGGGAGGAAATTGTGATTTTTCTGGAGATGAAAGGCATAGAATGCGAGTTTAGAAGAAAGATTCAGGAGGAAGAGTGGAAGTTTCAGCTGATGTTCGCAGTGGATGTGCTCCAAAAAATGAATGAACTCAATGTGAAACTGCAAGGAAAAGATTTGTTTGCCCATGACATGTATGTGCATGTGAAGACTTTCAACAGACAACTGGACCTCATGTCTAAACAAGCTGGGAAAGGCAATTTCTGCCACTTTCCAACCCTGAAGGGTACTAAAGCTCCACAACATCTCTGGACTAATTTCAGAGACAAGCTGGACTGCCTGAAAGCCGAGTTTGAGAGAAGGTTCGAAGATTTCAGGGACATGGATCCACTCTTCCAACTGCTGTGTTCTCCATTCACAGCAGATGTTGAATCAGCACCAGAGGATCTGCAAATGGATATCATTGAAATGCAGAGTGATTACACACTGAAGGAGGCTTTTGGAGCAAACGAATTGTCTGCCTTCTATTGTGCCCTACCACCTACGTTTGCAGCAGTGAAGAAATTTGCAGCAAAACTTCTTTCAGTGTTTGGTTCAACTTACATCTGTGAACAAAGTTTCTCTTGCATGAAGATAAACAAATCGAAGACTCGATCGGCGATGACAGATACAAATCTGCAAACCGTTATGCGTATTTCAACGAGCAACCTCAAACCAGACTTCAAAACTATTGTGAGAAACTGTGACCAACATCATTTCTCACACTGAGAGCATGAACATGTTAAATAGATATGATAAAACAATGTAAACCTGTAAATAAAAACCACCCTGAATTTGTTGTTGTTTTCTGTTAGTTTTCTCGAAAAAGTTATTGATCTAGCGCCATTTCTAGCCAGCCCGGCCCTTCATTGCATATTAGTATTTCAAAATGGCCCTTAGCTTGATGAGGTGCAACTGGGCATAATTAAAATAACAGGAATTTTCTAGTTCAATGCTAGGATTTGAACTTATTTTGGCATTGTCTGGAGCGCAGTAGGCCTACTGGTGTGTTTCCTAGAATTCAATTAATCATTTTCACAATGTTGCTCTCAACACATTCCTACATTTAATATTGATTATATTATTACATCTACAAATTTCGAAGTAGAAGCTTTACCCCTCCCCACCCTAACTTTATTGACAAGGGCTTGTCTACATCCAAGCACTGAAAAAAGTCTGGGCTAGTGTGGCGCATGGTTAGTTGATTGATCATTGATTTATCATTCTGCTGGCATGCAGTCCGTATGCATGTGCATCAGTAGCTTGCTACAGTTCCTCGGTTAGCTCCCTTTTCCAATCCGTAGTGCACACATAGCCTTTCTCACCCATTCACACACAGATTCTAGAGGTCACAGGAACCTATGTCCTTGTTGTATTGGTGCTGCAAGCTGCTGTGGCCTGTATAGCGTGCATACTGTAGCAGGTGGCTAGCCGAGCCTCCGGTCTCAACCAATCAGAGTGCTGATCTACGAACACACCCTTGGGAATGTTTGCCAGATGTTTGTCGACTACAAGTACAAGCTCATTATTTTTGGCAAAATGGTTAGCGTTTGAACATGAATCCTATGAGAAGTTGAAAGCAAATAATGTATAGTTAATAAAATTAGCTTGTTCTGCCAATTTAATATATGGGTGCCTTTACGACGATAAAATATATACCTTTGTTTTAGTTTTTTAAGTAAACAAATGGTCATCAGTTTTATTCAAATCCACAAATACACGTACCATGATAAAAACTGGAAAATGTTTTGAAAGTTTTTCAACATTTGTCACTCGTTTACTGAGAAAAAGTGACTTAATTTCATTTCATTACGCTGACAGGATAATTAATGACACACCGAGACAATGCATATATTTGGGCAGTTATGTTGATTATATATAGATTAATATATATATATATAATATATATATATATATATTATATCTGTGTGTAGATATAGATATTATTGATAGATAGAATTTGTGCGCGTACAAACGTATAAAGTATACTTCTGCAAATGTAAAAACGTTGCTCACAGATGAAGAGCAACATAGGTTACGGAGAGTTCAGAGTAGAGCTCTGTTTCAGTAATGCCCTGGGCAGTGTAAGTATCGATGGTTGTTTATTATTAGTGCAGTGGGTCCCCTGCATACAAAGCTGATATCGGTGAGATGCCTGATAAGTTTTGGTACCGGGGCTGGGTTCCCGGTTGCCAACTAGGAAGTGTCTATATTCAGGCCGGTACGGGAGATTACGGTACGCATATATTTGCTAATATATTGACTAATCGTGCGTCAATAAACTCAATATTCACAGAGAGTATAGCTAAGACATGTGTCTATAGGTTTCAGAATTTTAGAAATTTAATCATCTGTAATTCACTTCCGCGCGCATATATTTGCTATATTGACTAATCGTGCGTCAATAAACTCAATATTCACAGAGAGTATATGAATTCAAGCCGGTACGGGAGATCATTTGCATAATATATTCTAGATACCTATAGACACATGTCTTAGCTATACTCTCTGTGAATATTGAGATTATTGACGCGCGATTAGTCAATATATTAGCAAATATATGCGTACCGTAATCTCCCGTACCGGCCTGAATATAGACACTCCCACAAGCGTGCAGAGCCCTAAACTGGATTTAGCCGGATGGACTATGATGTTTGCTTTATGAAGGTGTTGTCTGATTCTACGCCGTTGTGTTGAACTTTGCACGGGCCGTGAACCTTGGAAGCAATCGGACAGTTGCCTTTCCAAAGTCAAAGGATCGGTTGGTCTATAAATTGGAAGTGCAGAAATGTTTCGGCGGGGTTTTATGTTTTCACATGACCTGCAACGTCGTTGAAAACAGTAAAGCCCGGCGCGCATTGCTGAACATTTTGCTCAAAAACATTATCGTAGCAATGTTCCATGAAATGTTTGGCAATGTGCGGTGAAAAAAGTCGCCGAACATTTGTGCCGAACATCATGCGCCGATCACGTGACTCTTTACAACACAGCTACTAGACGGCGCTACAAGGTTGTTCGCTGCAAAATGTTCGGCAATGTGCGCTCAACAATTGTTCACCCGCACATTGCCAGACAAAAACATTTGTTCGGGAAAATGTTCGGAAATGTGCGCCAGGCTTAACGACTTGATGAATGGTGTGCACGCATTCTAGGAAACAAAAACCGAACATTTCTTCGGTTAATTAATTTGTATAATTAAAGCAAGGCTACACACTATATAAATAGGCAAATGGTTTAATTATACCATTTTATGTTATGGTTTTTATGGTTTATGGTTTCGAACACTATTTGGAGCGCAGCCGAGCCACTAAATAACATGCAAACACAGGATGTGTTTTAACTTTAATTAACTTTAATTAACTTAAATTTAAGATAGTTTTGCAGATTATGATATCAAAGAAGGTGGTGCATACCTCTGGCTTATGCCGATCGCGATGACTGTGGTCACTGTGGTTTCTGTTTTTTTGTAAAATTGGTTAGCACTGTGTTAAAATATCAAATTAAGTAATGTCTTATAGTTATGAAACAGTTAATTTAGTTGAAATGTTAAAAATTCATTAATACACGTACACGTGCTATGAAGTCGTAAAGCACTTATGTCGCATTTACAATACAAGCGGTTGATGTGGTGAAACCTATTTCCATTCCATAGTAAAGGAAGTAAAGTAAAAACTTTACGTGCCGCACATAGACATCACATGAAGACGCTCATGAGTCATAGTCATAGAGAGCCTGCTCTCACTGATATTGATTGCAGCTTCTGTACTTTATTCGAGGATGTTTTCGGTTTCATCTGCGCGGTCTGGCGGCACTGGGTAATTTTCCACAGTGCAGCTGATGGGCAATGAATGCAGAAGCAGCGATGAATGCTTTTAACATCAGCTCCGGCATGAGCGCATCTTGCTGATGAAGCTCCGAGGTTGAAAAATCGTGCTATGGTTTTCTCATTCATATACTTATGGTTATATAACCTTGATAGATGTACATACACCATCTTGATGAATACGGCCGTGAAGATCTTGTTTATGTTCCTACCTGATCCTAGTATCTATATTTAAAACTCTCGACTGATGTTGTCGCACTTCGAATTGTATATTCTATTCAGTGTAGCCATATCGACCACCGGCCTGGCCTGCATTACTTATTTTTCATGAAAATAAACTGAAAATGAATTTAAAATGGAAATGAAAATGGAAATGTATTTGAAATGGTAATGAATATGAAATGAAAATGGAAATGAATTCGAAATGAAAATAACACATTATTTCATTAACATATGATAATTACAAGAGCTCTTGATAATTAACATAAGTAACCGAAAATATCTGTCTGTATATCCTTCTCGGCCACCATAGTGCTGGTTTACAAGCAATTTGTCCCTATCAGATTTTAATACTGAGTGATATCTAATATTAAAGCCGCACAATGCGCATCCAAACGCTAATTTCTCCAGTACTAGACTAGCAAATACTTCGTGTCATGCATAATCACACTACTCTTAGGACAAAATAAATCAAAAAAATCTCTAGTTCTCACATGTTCACGCCATTGTCTATTATAAAAGGTATTGAAAAATATCTCCATGTTGTTAACTGTCTCCGATGTTGTTGACAGTTTTCCCCAAGCAACCCGTGCGAGCGAGTGCTACGAAGTACAGCAGGTACGGGCATGTAGAAAAGCCATGCAGACTCGATATAAAACATGGTGAGTCAACCAAACCAATATCGGAGGACTATGTTGTTTGCAAACAATTTAAGTGTGGCGCGCAGATTTAACACTGATTTCGACCTCTTTCTTGTTTGGTTTTAGCAAACGCGCATCAAATGGAAAGGAACTAGAGTTGTATTTTGTTATAAGGTAGTGTGATTATTTCATGCCGACGAAGTAGTTGCTAGTTGACATTACTTGTAGATAATGTAGCGTTTGGTCATGCGCATTGTGAAGGGCGTGTGGGTGTGTGTGTTGTGTTTCTGTGATTAGAGTTATGTGCGTATGAGTGAATAAGCGCATCGCATTTAATTAACTTATTTAATTATATATAATGTTTATTTTTATTTACGACATTTATCTCGATGATTAATGCGGATTCAATAATAGAGACTTTGACGGAAAGTCTACTGAGAGGGGTCTATGTTGTCCCAGGCGGTACTGCCGGACGCTACCCTGGGTGGTATGTATACGAAGGTACCCTGGTTCTATGACATATGCCGGACTTACCTCGTCTACTCACTAACGAGTTTAGGGAAGTCGCTGAGCCTATACTCCATAACGCGCTAATCCCGTAACCCTTCCCTTAAATCTAACCTGACATCATGATGACAGGGGTACGTTCGGTATACGGAACCGTACCCAGGGTACGTTCCGGCAGGTACACTGGGGGACATAGACCTATGAGCGATAAGTGTTCAGTCGTTCGCATGTGCGAGGATCTTTTGTGGATTATATCGATAACGAGTTACATAACCCGAGAATGGACAGGCGAGATCAGACGAAAACGTGCGTTCCTCTAGCGTTTAGCTGATAGGGTCTATGTCCCCAGATGGTACTGCTCCGAAGTACGCCTGGTAGTAAATGACTACTATCTTAGTATGCCGGAACGTACATCGATACTCCACTCAAGAGTTAGTGGAAGACTAAGCCTATCCTAACCCTAACCTACAGGGGGGTAAGGGGGGGGGGGCAAAAAAAAAAAAAACAACAAAAGAATCCAGAAGGAAGAGATAAAAAGGCGCCCCTGCTCGCGCAGAATAACGCATTTAAGGGGTCTGTTATCAAACATATTTCTAGGCGGGAGGCCCCCCCAGACCCCCTTCGCTGTTAGACTTCGTAAAGTTTGGGTTCGAGTAGCACCCCCCCCTGGTTTGACAAATCCTGTACACGCCCTGCCCGTAACCT